TAGTTTGAAAGTGATCTTGTTTTCTCCAAATTTTCATCATATTCCCACTTTTTACATTAGTTATTTTAGTTCATTATCAATTTAGATTATGCATATGTTATGTAGCCTTAAATGATTTGTTTTACAACTTGATTTCTCATAGAAACAAATTAAGTCAAATAAATATTAATAGTATCAGTATATAACCGGGCTGACCAAGTTCATAAAAACATTTTTGATATTTGTTAAGTCTAAGAAGGAACTATAGAGTGGTTGTGGCCGAAGTTTTCATCTCTAAAATGTGTACATCAAATGTTGAGTGCTGCCATCTTGTAAGCCTACAAGTTTGACATTGATGTTTGGAATGTTGAGCATGATTCCAATGACATTCCAAAAACCATTGTCAAACATCTAGGATTACAAGATGGCAGCACTCAATGTTTGACATTCAGGTTTTAGAGATGAGAACTTCAGCCGCAACTTCTCTATTGATATTTCAGCAGTCAAAACCATTTAAACAAAATTCATATCAATTATTATAATTAAATCTTATTATTATTTAGCACAGAGCAGTTTAAGGAATAACTTTTTAATATTAAAAATATAATTCAAATAATATTTTCTGAAAATTCATCATTTGGAATTCTGATTGCTTATCAAAATATAAAATTAACATAAAGTTAACGGCTTTTACAGTTCTCATAATTTCCTTATGATTGGTAAAGTAGATTAGAAGAAACAGATGTTATAATTTAAAAAACTGATTCATGTTATTGTTAAAATGGATCTGGTATTTTAAATTTGATCCTAATCTTAATTTTTTGTGAGATAGTTTAATTTCATATCAGCTATGCCTGTAATGAAGCAAACTAAAACAAAAATGCATACTAGTACTACATATTTAAAGTTCAAATCAATTATTAAAGATTTCTTTTGGGGGCTATAAAATGCTTGGATATATTTTATTTAAACTAGTTTAAACACATTAAATATTAAAATATGTAAAGTTTATATGTAACTTACAAACATCAAAATTAAAAATAATAAAATTTATTATTTTTAATTTTGCAAAAACAGAAAATATAATGAACCAAACAAAACTTCAGGTAAGAAAATTTTATAACAAAAAAATCATTTTGAATTAATGTTTATTAATGTTATATTCTACATTTTCATGTTCATTACATCATTTAAACATTTTTCTGAAAGTGTTCAAATTAAGTTTGGAAAACTGCCAACTTAACAAAATTTGATAAATTATGTAAAAGTATTTAAACAATTTACAATCTGAAACATTCAAAAAACAAACTTTAATCAATTAAGATGAAATAAAACTATTTTAAATTAGGGCATTTCTTTAAAATATTTCAAAAGCCATGATGANTGGTGAGATTAAAATGTGTGTGTTAAATACAACCCACTGCATACTTTTTTTATTCATTAGTGATCAATAATTACAACTTGATTCTCATATAAAACAATCTTTTGAACATAATTTTCACTTTAAATGGGATAAAATATAATTAAAATTTTCAAACAATTATGATTAATTTCAAGGCATTCTATTGTTAACACTATCTAGTTTACAGATGATCTTGTTTGTCAAGCCAATTTTCCTTTAAAAAACAAAGGTTGTTATAGATTTACAGTTTTACATGTTATTTTATCATCCGAATGGCTTTAGACTCATATGTAGTCTACACAAAGTAAATTTACAGACTATTGGGAAGTCTGTTATTCTCCATGTAAAATGCGTTGAATTCCTCCACACAAAAGCAAATTATGCTTTAATATCTAAAAGCTTATGGCAGTCCCAAAGTAAATGCCAACTAAAATGTTTGAAACTTTATCCTAGTTGGTGTGATCCAACACATGACTTTTTTTTTATATTAAAAAGACATTTTATGCTAATTTTCTAAACATTTTTTTCTTTAACAATTACTGTTTTAATTGTTTCACATTAACTTACGTATAAAGTAACAAATCCCAAAATATCATGACAACTATTATTGGTTATTTAATATTTTTTTGAAAATACCTAAAAACTCCTGTCTGCAGAGGCATTTGCAAGCACTTCTTCAAACTCCAGAAAGTCTTAAATAAAACTAACATTGTAAATATAAATTCAAATTAAAAGCAATGAGGTATTATACTTCTTTAAAAATGTTAAATCTAAAAATAAAATATCTCTATAGTATTAACAAGTAAACTGGACTATTTTGTCCCAGCATGCATCTAGTCATACCAGTATAAAGGAACAACAGTTGGTGAATGAATGTATCCACTGATGAGGCCTGTTAAAACTAGCAAAATGCATTTGGAATTGTTGAAAATGGAATATTTGGAAAAAGTTAAAATAAATGTCTAGTATTCATTTTTATTTGGTTTGTTTGCCTTGAAAAATTGCTCAAAATTGGATATAAAGTTTATAATATTACTTGTTAATACCCTAGAGATATTTCATTTTTAGATTTGACATTTTTTTCCCATACAAATCAAGAGTGATATGATATCAAATCTAAATTTGATAGAGTATTATTTTCTGAATGCATTTAGATATAGCATGTAACTTAACTTTTATAACAAATTATACAATCTAACTTGTAATTTTGGCTTGCATCCAATGTTACATTCTGGAACTTCTCAATTTTATTATTATTCCAAATGACTATGCACTATTCATTTGAAACTTATTCTATGCACAAAATATATTTTTGTATAGATGGACCTCAAATGTAATATCAGTTAAAAACTTATTTAAAATATCTAGAAATGTGAAAGCTGAAAACAATCCAAACAATTTTGTTAACAATGAATCATGCTAATGGCCATGATTATAACAACATTATGTATAAAATATATCATCTAAAAATTTGTAAGCTCTGCACATTAATTACATAAGTGGAAAGTTTTTTCTACTAACCAAGACAATGGAACAACAAAATATTTTATTCACTTACAACTTTCGCTAAGTATACATACAACATTGTCACAGCACTTCATAACCTTCTCCGACTTTGTGCCAAAACTTAACATCTCCCTCCAACTTTGTAACCCTTCTTTGAACTTTGACCCCAAACTTAGCATTGTCTTTTCTCAAGTGTTCCCAGCCCTCTATCTGGGCTATCTTTCCAAAATTAAAACTGATTTACCAGCTAATGTATTAAAAGTTTTCCATATATCCTATAAATTAATTCTACAGTCATATATATATTTAAAGGTGCCAATGGATATACTAATTACTTTTCTTTTAAAATGCTTATCCAATTTCTAAAATACATCTTTACAGAGACAAAAGTAGAAAAATATTATAAGTTTTGTTTACATGCATATAATATAAATTTTTAAAACGCTTAGTAGTTTTCATTAATTTATCATTAATAAGACAACGTTTTATTTGATTATTTTTCTCTGATCAACAAACTGAATAAAAATTCTTTCCATTGGATAAAAGAATATAATCACCCTGACCTAATATAGGGAGCAATTGTTTTAGGATGGCTATAAGATCTGAAAACTATCTAAAAGATTTATATTTTAATCATAAAATTAAAAAATATCTAACTAAAATATTTAAGTTTTCATCTCCATAATATCCATATACACAGATTGATGTAAGAAATCCCCTTGCAGCTACATATCCTGTTAACTCTTGTATATTTTCAGTATACACAAGAAAATGTTTTATACTGAAAAATTTTATAAGTTTTATATTAATAAATTTTATGTAAATAAATTTATTTGCTCCTTTTTCTTATTTATTTGTAATTTAACAGCAAATATTTTTGCTGGGTACAACTATTTTAGAAATAATTGCAAAATTACCCTGTATTTAATATCTTCAAATATCTTAGTATAATATAAATTAAGTATATTATTAGTAAAATTTTATGCTTACAGTAATTGCATCCAAATTATTAAAAGCTTAAATTCTGTGATCTATTAACAGATAACCATTTAAAATCTACCATATTTTTTACACTCACATTTTAATTTCACATGTGATTTGCAATTTTTAATGTAAAACTGAAAACTAACACACATTCACCAATATACTATTTCTTAATGAAATTCTACATTTTGAAATTATTAACAGATGAACAATTTCAATTTTCTACTTTGTATTTGCTTCTGCTGATAATATCTACTATTACTTATTTATTGTTCCAAACACTGTTAAAGCAGGAATTTTGCTAAATGTGCATTTACATTATAATAAATTCTTCATTTTGTTTCTCCACTCTTGACATACATGACACTAATAGTAGCTTCCCCATAAGCAGTAAAGGGCTTTTTTTTTTTTGTATAGTTGTAAAGTTTTTCTTTTTACTGAAGTAGAAAAATATAAGATGACTAAAACGCAACTTAAGATCCTCCATTTTTAACTCAAAAACCTTGAGTGTAATAACAAAACTTTTCTTTGTAATATCTGTTACATAACATCATAGCAAAACTAACAAAAACAATTGACTATAAATTGCCATTAATCACTACTAGCAACATCTTATGTAAAAAAAAAAAAAGTAAAACTTTTTCATCAACTCTATATTACAGTAAATATACAACATATCAATTAATCATCTTTCACCAAATGATACAAGGTCAAATTAAACCAACAATGTAATATAGTGGTTGATGTTATAATAATCATACACATTTAACATGGCATGAATCAAATTTGTTATAATACAGATTAACTTGTATTTGATCAAATATTTTTTAAAGAAAAAAAAGCACTACTTTTCACGAAAAATTGCTAAATTTTGAAATGTTAAAAATTTTAGAATTTATTTTTATAATTAAAAAACATTATTACAAGAATATAAAAACCTTTATAAATGTGAACAAAAAATTTTTCAATAAAGGATTTAAAAATTGATTAATACAAGCTATATCGTAATGATATGAACTGCAAAAATGGTAAAATTATTGAATTGGTCTCATGTATTTTAATATAATAAAATTAAAATTATTTCTATTAAATTGCACATATTCCAAAAAATTTTAAATGTTCATCTTACCATCATCATCACTGTCTGGTTCACCATCCTTTAAAATATAAAAATTGTATAAACAAAATTATTTTTTAAATTTTAATTAAGAAAAATTGTGTGTTTTTACTTACCAAATCTCCCAAATCTGTTCCTCCACCACCTAACCCTCCCATCTGTCTCATCATCTGAAATTATTTCAATATAATAATAATAAGCAGATGTAAACAAATACTTAAAATCAATTTTAAAAAAACAAAATAATATTTTTAAGAAATCAAAAAATACTGGTGCAACTTTTCTTTCATAATATATATTTTCATTTTTAAGAGGGATTAATGTTCATACACTAAGATTAAATTTTGGAATATAAATTAAAATATATACCAAATAAATTATTTCAAAGCAAGTTTTTAATACTTTCCATTTTCTTATGTTAATAAAATTTATTTAGAGCACATTTAAATCTATTAAAACAGAAATGTGTTTATTAAAGTTTAACCATTTTAGTTCAGCTATCTCCAACAAACAAATCTGTAATAAATATAACATCCATGAAACTGAATAAAATAAATTAAACGAAATGTGAAATTTGAAAGCATTTTGCGTTCATAGAACAGTTTCAATATACAGGTATGCAGGATTTGATTAATGCACAAAATTAATTGCAGCAATCCCTTTATATCTGAGGCAGAAATTTTAATTAATGTGCCTTTAATTAATGTCTTTATTTAACATAGATATGTTTTTCTTGGCAAATAAGGTATTGGTGAATTTGCTATTTTCCTGCTGAGGATGATTTCCAATAATTATGTAGTTTAATCACAATAATTGTGAAATTTAATACATTATTGCTAATGTGATATTGTGCCTTTGTTTAGAAGATAATTTTAAAACTTTACTTCACATTTTGTTCATGTAAAATGAAACTGGAATGTCTGATAAAATGCATATCAGACATATTATGTATACTTTTTAAGTTTCATAAAGGATACAATGCTATATAAATAGTAAAAAATACATTTAGTGTACGGGGAAGATGCTCCTAAATGTCGTAGATGTCAAATGTGGTTTTGAAAGTTTTGTTTGGAAAATTTTGAACTAAAGGATACAAAATGTATAGGGTAGGGTGCCCTAAAGTTGTGGACAAAAAGAAATTTCAGGAAGAAATTGTTAAAAATCAAATAATAATTCGTGAACTTCAACAAATCTTAGTGTATCATGATCATAATGATTATGTTCTGCATGCATTAAGTGGAAAAAAAACTGGATTGAGTATAATTTTGTCTGACAAAGATAGACAGCTCTAAGATTTCATTTTACTTTTTAAATTACTTACTCATTTTTATCATAAAAAACATTTCTTATGGATGACAAAATTATTATTAAAAATTACAAATTGTTTGACTGTTGTAATTATTTAGTAATTGAAAAAGTACACAAAATATGGTGGTATGCAGTAAAACATGTGGCATGGTACACTAAAAGGAAAGTACAGCCAGGACAATGTTTAAAAATGTTTCATCACCACATAGATGCAAGAAAGTGAAATTTCCAGTGAGACGTGTTAGCAAGAGAGCAACTGTGATGACTTCAGATTATGACAATTCTCGCTTTTTTTGCTGTTTCTTGCATTGCTATTCAATGACATAAATTGTTTTTCATTCATGTGAGGCCCCGGAAATAGCCCCTGCAAAAGTAAAAAAAGATATAAGAAAGAAAAATAAGTTTGTTAAGTTCAATTGTCAAGAAAGCAAATTATATAAGTATCGAATCGGCGATACCAGACTTTGAAGTCAGTGCTCATAGAGAATAACGGGAAAAACAAAATTTTAGATATAAAAGAAGAAAATTTAAAATATTAAAGTTAAGACGCAGTTTAGAAAGCAAAACGAAACTAGAAAAAAAAATATCAAAAGCATAGGTGTCATAATCAACAATTAAACACTATCAGATTCGAAAAGATGGTGTCGGATAAACCATCTCCAGCTGACCTTTCCCGCAAACTTTACGAAGCTCCATTTACACCTGGAGACAGGTGGATGACCAATTGGAAAATGGTGATGTAAGGTCTATCCAATTAGTAAGAAGCCGATCGCAAAAACTCTATAAAAACGCAAAATTCAAGGACAACGGGACTTCCTCTAAGACTTTTCCACCTAGACTACCTGTTGTGTTCGTTTGTCGACAGCTGTCGTGCTTCCTTTCATCTTTTGTGCGCTGTCACTTCATATCTCGAACTTCTCACTCGATGCAGTCATGGGGCCCCTCCAGCGTAGGACCAGATCGACACCGAAACCAACTTACGAAGACAACCCAAAGTTCTGAACTTAAGGATCTTGCCAACAAGAGACTTTATGTAAGCATTATCATCCGGAATAAACAGTTTACCTTTGTAAAATACTTGTCTTTGCTGCCTTTAAAAACCGCCACCCACATACGCGTAGACCTTAGACCATCCCGACGGTAGGGAAATAAAAGATTTTCCCCCTCAATCGGCGTTCTTACATTCAAAAGAGTAGGAAAAAAATGGAGCAATGATAAACTTTATAATTTCTATTTTGATGATTTTTTAATCACTGATTGAATTAATTTCTCTGTATGGAAACATTAATCATTGCCTTCTTGCCCATATAAATTGAAGAAAGCACATATTTGATATATATCTATTAAATATGCTTTCTTCACATATGTGCAGTTTAAAGCAAGAATGTCAATCACAATAAGCCAATATCAGATGACTTGCAAGGGTGAGATTTTCTATCCTGTGAGAGAGAAGAGAGATTCTATTTCTCATTCATGCATGGTTTCGCTTTGTGAGAGTCATATCATTACAGACTTATCACTTGCTGCTATTAATATTACACATTTTTGTAATTCCATTGCACATACTGCACCCTACCGCCACACAGTAGTTGCCAGTCCTTTTATAAAGTGACATTTTTTAAAGATGTGTTGGGAATTACATTTTCTGCTTTCAAACACAGACTACTACTGTCACATTCAACTATGCTCACACTCAAAACAGGAAGTTTGAAAGATTTCTTGACAACTTGTGCCCTCTCACTCAGTTTTACAACAAACTAGGTAAAAAAAAAAAAAAACATTGTGTCAAAACCACATGCTCTATAATTTGGTACTTTGTACTTTTGATATAAGTAATTCTGTGTTCTGTTGTGTATACAGATAACCATACAAGTATAATCAACACTACAGACAAGTTTGTTTCAAGTGACCATAATTGCCATTGTCCCCAGAAGACAAGCTTAATCTCATGTTAATATCTCTGAAAAGACAAAAATATGGCCGCAGGTGTTTTTCTTAGAAAAACAAGTACAAAACCGTTCAATGTACAGTAGAGCGTCGTTTATCCGAATCAATTGGGGACAGGTTGTTCGGATAACTTATTTTTCGAATAACCGACTATGTATGAAAAAATATATTAACCTATCCCATGTTGAAATTTTTCTACGTTGCGTGTCACTTCGTGTTGAATTTTCGTCAATGTTAAGCCTAGCATAAACTTTTCAAAATAATAATCACAGCTATTGTATTGTTAAAAATTATTTCTTTATTTTGTACAAACAAAATAAATATATTGAAAAATATAAAAACAAAAAAAAAAAAACATACTTTAGAAGTTGATCTAGTATCAAAAACATTCAATTCAGCACCACACACAGTCCTCAGAAAAACACAACACAAAAGTGCCAGTGCTGCCAGCTAAAAAAAAATGGAGTAGCCCAAGATATAGCCAAAGATTGCAGCGCCACAGCGCTAGTGAAAATTTAAATTTGCCAACTGGAATTCTTTCAGATAACCGATGCTCTACTGTATTTAAAAGGAACAAAATACAATCTCAAGCATTATTGGAAAATTAACGAAAATGTTCAGTTCTAACAAAATAATTTAAATCTTAGATTATACATTGAGCATTGCTTAGAGATTTCCCAGTCTCTAATATTTGCATTAAGACTTATGTACAAAATTATTGAAAAATCTCTAGAATCAGATTTAAATCATAAAAAACAACAAAGAGCTATTGTATCATCTCATTAGTACCCTGAACCATGAAAACCAGTAAAAATATACCAATCTTCAGTTCACTGAAAAAAAGTCATTACTTGTAAACAAAAAAACATGCATTACACGATCATTGATGTTCAGAACTTGGATAAAACAAGTTTTGATCATCAATGACAATTTTTATCAGCAAACCTTTTATCAGTTTCCATTTGAAGTGGCATTCTGTTAAGTTTCATATTTTCACTATCATTCAGTCTAATTTTTCTGTTTAAACTCATATATTGCCTGACACATTAAGCAAAAAGTGCTGACAGAATTATAAAATGTGCTGACTGGTTTAACTGAAGCATCATTATGCATGACATTGCTCTCAAGTTGATTCTTTCCATAAACAGACTAGTTTGAAATATTTCACATTTATGAAAAACTTTTGGAATAAATTTATTGACTTATTTGAAATATAGTAGCTTCTAGGATATAAAGTGGGATATATTTTGTGAAATTAACTCAACAACAACTATTGAATAAGGCATAGCTTATTACATTCAATGCAAAGTTAACACTGATGTGAAAAAAAGCCATTCCATTTCACATTGTTGTTGTTATTTGTAAAATTAACATTGTTTTGAAATGTCTAGGTGATGTAAATTATCAAAGTGCTTGAAAGCACATTATATTTATTGTATTATTTTTTAATTGTTCTTANATAAATTATTTTTATTTGTAATAGGAATTTATTATTGATATGAATTTATTATTTATACCACGGAATGGTATAATTATTATATGCCTTGATTAACCTTGCGCCACATGTTTACAACATCCCGTGACTCAGTGAATGTCACACATTGACTCACGGGAAATTTGTTGAAAAAATGGCAGATACATTTAAAATTGAGGTTTACAAGCGAAGGTAAATAAACAAATTAAACTATTTTAAAGTATTTATAGAATGCTTAATAGGTAGAAATATAGATCCGTATGATGCGATTGGGACAGTAAGATTTACCCTCTGAATGAAGGAGTGGTGATCCCTTCCTCTGTGTGAACAATAATGAACCATACCCTATGCGTGACCCTTCCTGAGATATAGCCCTCTAAAAATTATTCTATGGGACACATGACTGCCTGTTTTCCACAATTTACCCTGCAAATGAGTGGGTCGGCGACCCCCAGAGTGTGTGTG